CAGAGATGCTATCATATTATATTAATAATTCAGCCAAATCATTGGCTACCAGACCGGCTGCTTCTATTGAGCAGTCCGTTGACATAGGTCAGTTTACTGACAATAATAATTTTGTTGAAATTAATTCAATTTCTAATTATTTAAATTAATTAATAAGACAACGGAGAGATACTCTTGCAACACATTGACAGTAAGAAACCAACCTAAAACACACAGAAATAAAATAAATTTTATATTAAACCTGGTGCACCAAAATATTCAAGGCATGAAAGGCAAAGAGCTAGAAATAGAATTATTTATTAACTGTAACAATATTGATATTCTTTGTATTACTGAACACCACTTTCTATCACAACATCAGTTCATGTTTAGCTTCAACAATCACCAGGTGGCTAGTTCGTTCAGCAGAGAAAAAGCTATTCACGGCGGCTCTTTAATTCTTATTAAAAATAATTTAAAATTTAAAGAACGTAAAGATATTGTGAGCCTATCTATTGAGCGGACTATAGAGATATCCTGCATAGAGCTTGAACGGCTTGTTATATTAAGCGTGTACAGACCCCCTCATTCATCTTACGAACTATTTGAAAAAAGATTAGATGAAGTTTTAGCCAAATTAAATAATATAAATAAATATATTGCTGTTTGTGGTGACTTCAATGTTAACTTACTAGAAGATTCCAGTGCTAGCAGTAGGCTCATATCATTTTTCCAATGTTATAACCTTGTGAATCTTTTTTTGGTGCCTACTAGAATAACTTCTACTACTGCCACTTGTTTAGACAACATTTATACCAACGCCGTACCTAGTAATAAATCTATTATAAATAAATTAACTTCAGATCACTGCGGTCAATTGGCCACTTTTAATATAACTGTTGACAAAATGCCGAAAAAGGATATCACATGTGTTCCGATAAATAATGGTCGACTTAAAGCTTATAGAAATAACGTAATGCTTAAACTAACTGACATTCCGTACGTTAACGATCCCAATAAATTGTATAATTCAGTTTTCAACATAGTGAAAAGTGAACGTGATAATGTTTTTAAGTCCAAAATCATAACTATTAATAATTCATTGAAATTTAGTGAATGGGCGACTGTGGGAATTCACAAAAGTAGACAAAGGCTGTATGATCTTTACGATGAAAGAACTTATAACACTAGTAACAGTTTTAATGATTTTGTTAGGAAATATTCGAAAATGTTTAAACGTGTTTGTGTGGCAGCCAAAGCAATGTTTATTAATAATAAAATAAAAAGCAGCGCGAATGTAGTAAAAACGACTTGGAATATTATAAATAGCGAAACTGGAAGGGTCAAACCTCGTAACTTAGATTTTCAACTAAGATTTAATGACAAAATTGTAAACACAGACGCAGAAGTTGCTAAAATATTTGAAATTTTTTTTACCAACATTCCAATTTTGACTACTAATTCGTTAAATTCATCTCCCATGGCCGCTGAATCCTTACTAAAAGAAAATAATGCAGTTAGTATCACTAATTTAAGGTTCCGTCATGTATTTCCAAACGATATTGTTAAGGCCTTTAAGTCTATAAATATAAAAAATACTGCTGATCTTGATGGTCTTTCAGTCAGAGTAATTAGTTCTATAGTTGATTGTATTGCGCCTTACTTAGCCTGTGTCTTTAATAAATGTGTTGATGATGGTGTCTTTCCTGACCTCATGAAGCAAAGTAAAGTTATTCCACTTTTCAAATCTGGTAGTATTTCTGACCCCACCAATTTCAGACCTATATCAATACTACCAACTCTCAGTAAAATATTTGAAAAAATTATTCTAAATCAGATGTGTGCACATTTTTATAGTAATAATTTAATGTCTCCTAAACAATTTGGTTTCACTCGGGGTCGCTCTACAACCGACGCTGGTGTAGAGTTGATTAATCATATATTTGATGCATGGGAAGTCTCACATGATGCTATTGGTGTATTCTGTGACCTTTCCAAGGCTTTTGATTGTGTGCACCATGATACACTGGTCAGGAAACTTCGCCATTATGGTGTGGCGGGACGTGATCTCGACCTTCTTAAATCGTATTTGCGTGGTAGGGTACAGAGGGTCGATGTTAACGGTACGAGATCGTCAGGGTCTGTAATTAGCATGGGTGTCCCTCAAGGTTCAATTCTAGGCCCATTTTTGTTTTTAGTTTATATTAATGATTTACCTAGCCTTATGGAGGGTATAAAACATGAGATAGTATTGTTTGCTGATGATACTTCCTTATTATTTAAAGTTAAAAGGCACCAATGTTCCTATGACGATGTGAACAATGCTATATCTAAAGTAGTTGATTGGTTTGCTGTTAATAACCTACTTCTTAATGAGAAAAAAACAAATTGTGTGAAATTTACATTACCCAATGTTAGAGAGACGGTTACAAACATTGTAGTTAGAAACGAAAAATTGAATCTTGTGGATACAGTTGTATTTCTAGGTATAACGTTAGATGCTAAATTGCAATGGGGTCCCCATATAAGTAAGTTGTCAAAACGGCTCAGCTCTGCAGTGTACGCGATTAAAAAAATAAGGAAACTTTCAGACGTCGAAACCGCTAGATTGGTTTACTTTAGCTATTTTCACAGTCTAATGACATACGGCATTTTGCTTTGGGGTAATGCCGCCGATATCAATAGAATCTTTGTCCTGCAGAAACGTGCAGTTAGGGCAATTTACAATCTGGGCCCCAAAGTATCTTTGAGAGATAAGTTTAAGGAAATTAACATTCTTACACTAGCCTCACAATACATTTATGAAAATATAATTTATGTTAAAAGGAATAGTAATTTCTTTATGAAAAATAGTGACAGACATAACATTAATACGAGGAATAAAAATAAACTAGCTTTTCTTGATAGTCGTCTTCACAAAGTCAAGCAATCATTTAAGGGGCAATGTATACGCTTCTATAACAAGATTCCGGTTGATATACAAAATTTGCCTTTCACGAGGTTTAAAACTATAGTGAAACAAAAACTTTATACTAAAGGTTATTATACAACTTCTGCGTACTTGGATGACAAAAATCCGTGGTAGTAACCCGTTTAGCTCATGGAGGTAGTCTCAATCTGATGTTTCAAATAAAAAAATATTGTAAATGTTATTTACAAAGAGCAACCCCTAGAGTTTCTTGCTCATTCTTCTCAGGGGAATCTGCCTTACGAATGAGCGGTAGAGTTTAACCATTGTGACGATTTCAAGTGTAATAATGCTTACCTATGAAATAAAGATTATTTTGATTTTGATTTTGATTTTCGTCACTTGATGTGATAAAAAAAATGCCGGACTGCCACGCAGGGGTTCTACGTTCGATTCCCGAATCTTTGACAATCATTTACGTTGTTATAAATAATTAAATAACAAATTAATAATGAACAGAATGTATGCTGCGATACTACGGAATCCGGAAAGCGTCAAGTCGTTTCACGGAAAGTATACGACAATCGTTTTCAGAGATTTTAGATTTTAATCATATATCTATAAGGTTTAAATTAAAATCTTAACGCAAACTCGGTAGTTAAGTTTGCATATTTGAACACTTACACTTAGGCGCTTATCACACGGCCCCGTACCACACAGCGGAGTGCGCGGAACGACATACATCATTCGCCTCGCACTCCCGCGCAGAGACGCGTTGTCAATACGGCGCGTGGTTTCTATATAAACTGAGATATTTCGGTACTTTACTTTACCTTAGGTCCCAGGTAACATATATACACATGCCCTAAGTATTGTGATATGATTAATTTAAAAAAAATGTACTACAACTAGCTGGTGCCCGCGACTTCGTCTGCGTAGAATAGCCTACTGTACCTTACTTGAAAAAGAATTATTTCTCTATAAAATCTTTTTCCCTATTTCACCCACTTTAATATTATTTTTTGTGACAAAAAGTAGCTTATATCCTTTTCCTAGATCCCATCTATCTCTGTACCAAAATTCATAGAATTTGGTTCAGTGGTTTAGGCGTGAAAACGTAACAGCCAGAGTTACTTTCACATTTATAATATTAGTTTGGATAATTCTTATTCACATGTTAAAAAAATATTATGAATGAAAAAAAATGAAAAAAATAAGTATCGTTACTGATAATAATTTACCTAAACAACTAAGAGCGATGCCACACGAGCGGTGCCGCCGGGGCGTTGCGTCGACGCAACGCAATGATTTCAACGCACCGAGTGTCACACGAGCAATGCAGTGTCACAACATAAGGGCGCGTTCTCACTATGTCGTAACGTTTTATTTATGGTTGAACGACTGTCGCGTGTAGCCTGTTCCCTTATCACGACTATCTGTCGTGACTGTGTCCTGGACGTTTATTTTGTCGTTAAACGACTGTCGTGTCTTGCAGTTATCACTAGATCCTAACGACAATTTATCGGTTCACGGTATCCGCCTTGTCGTTTGCACGGCAGAATCGTTTGAAGTTGCGATTATCACATTTTTATTGTGACGTTTTATTTATCGTCCGACGACTGTCGGTCTAGCTCTTCCCATTGTCACGACAGCGTGTCGTCGTAACGTCATAAAAGTCGTGAAAGACAGTTAATCGTGTTGTGCTGTATGTGACCAACTTCATTTAAATATACAAGCGACGACACTGGAATCTGCACGACTATCTGTCATCACGACACGACATAATGGGAACGCGCCCTAACGCTACCTTCGTCTCTTGGCCTCTTGTCGACGCGCAAGCGTTCTATCGGCGCGCGCCGCTTCAATGCACCATGTGACATGTAATAGTTTTAATTTATATGTAGTAACGTAAAAGAAAACGCGTAATGTTTAAAATTAAAAGCGTATAATTATTAACGCTTGCGTGTACTATCATCAAAGTTGAAGCCTACGCAACCCCAAACCAGATTTGTTTGCAAGCGGAAATTGAAACTAGCCCCGTCCTATGTTTTGTTGACCCATTTTTGTGAAGACACTTTGTTTATTATAAAAACATGACTTGATACTTTAATACATGAGCAAACAAAGAACATTCCCCATTACTGAGGTACCCTCTTTCCAACAAAGGACTATCGTCAAAATCGGTTCACAAAAAGCCGGAATAATCGCGTAACATTTTTTCATTTCATTCTTTTTCATTTTATTTTTTAATTTTCATTTTATTTTTTTTCCTTTTAAATTTTTCCATTTTAAATATCATTATATCTTAAAACTAACCCGCTGATGTAACTTTGTTGTAAATTCTCAGTTTTAAGCTTAGTTGCAAGGCTTTCCCCACACAAGCATACATTTGCTTAAAGGGAGAACCTTATCCACCATTGTTGAATCAAATTGAGAAATAAATAAATTTTTAATTTTAATTTAATTTAATTTAAACATACATACAAAAAAATGCAGTCGAATTAAGGAACCTCCTCCTTTTCTGAAGTCGGTTAGAAAGAAAAAATATTTTGTTGTAAAATCTAATGTTACTTAATTTTTTTAGTACACCCGTGTCACCAATGGCTCCTTCGTCCACGATTTTATGCACAAGGAGATCGAAGCTGGTCACCTGTCAGTGACACTGTTCAATATCACCAACGCCGAGCGGTTCATGGCTGGAGAGGACGAGAAACTGAAAGTCGAAGAAGTCGGCCCTTTTACTTATGTGTACGTTGATTATGAATTCCTGGGAGCCTACTTACCTACTATGATTTTATAAGACACCAGCCAGATTCTATGCAGTTCAGTTTACGTGGTAAAACTAAATTATTTCAATTCGTATTCATGACCAATTGGTTGCCACGTCAATTTTGATGTCAATATACATCAATCATTTAATATTGGTCAAGAACGCCAATGTTTAGATAACAGCAAAGTATTTGTTTATGGAAGAACTTCTTCGACGGATTGCTGTTGTGGAGATCATATCTGAGGTGAAAAAAACAATCATGGACAAACATGGTTTGTCATGATTTTTTTATTTTTTATTAAGGGCATATAAAATCACACTTAAATGTGTTTAACTTTTATCATGCCTACACAAAGTTGAACGGCGAATGTGTGGACAGAACGATGAGTTTAATTATTTTGAACATTAATTATTGTCTCTCGCCTAATCGATCATATGAAAAAAAAAGATAGCTGTACTTACCATTTTGGGAGCCCTTAAAAAACATTCTGTTTTCTAAAATAATGTTATTATTGATTATACAAAATACATTATTTTATAATATCGAATTTGGCACTATTTAAATGTTACTTTCCGATCTACATTAAGCCAATAAAAGTAAAAAAGATAACTAAGACTTAAAAGTCTTATCTAAATTACAAACGAAATCTTTTAAAAGCAATGCTCGCTAGAGATCAACAATCTTACGTAAGATCATTGGCAGATCGCACGGCAAATGGCACGTGATGACACGATTTGGATAGGACAAAAAAAACGGTGGACAGGTTTTTAATGGTCAACGTAAATTGCATGGACCCTGCCTTGTTTTTAACTTACGAGCTCAATCGAGTTTTCATACAAGCTCGTAGTAGCTCTTCACAAATTATGACAGGTATTACTGCGTGTCAGTAAAGTACTAAAAATCTCCAACCTGCATAAATATAACCTAAATCCAACATTAGCACATTATCCGTCCCTCTACAAACTGCCGTAATTGACATTAAGAAAATTTTTCAGGACTAACAGGTTTCTTTGTTACATTTCATATCTTGATTTGTAACTCATATCTTGTAATGTGCAAGACGATCGTAAGACGAAAGAT